CTCGGCGAGCCTGCCACCGCTGCACTTTGTCCTCTTGCCTGCTGTCCGCTATCAGGGCGATGTCGTCAGCGTAGAAAATGAACAAGTATGTGTTACTGATCTAATTTAACTAATAACTGCTTTGAAGGAAATTGGAAGATTAGAATATGCAACAACTATAAATAAGAAGCTGCCGCAGTGGTATAGCAGAAACAAGGGTCCTTATAATGTTTTTGAAAGCCTCCGCAGATTTTAAAAAGGCAAAGTTGATGGAAAACTGGAGAACTACCATTTTGCAGTACTTCTCAGCGCAGAGGTATGAAGGACATTGCAACATGTCATCCCACATTCCTTCACACTCAGCCTTCAATCTTTCTATTCATAGAAACTTGAATAGAATGATGTCCGAATATAATTTTTTTACACGGCTATGTCGATAAATGTGTATGTACATTCTGGAAATTTGTGTAGAGAATCATAACAAGAACTCGTCTTTGAATAAAAATTTGAGATCATTCTGTAGGAAATGGGCCAGTGAGATAGCTGTCTGCCGAGTGGCGACTGTCCATCGTGGATCCTCCTGCGGGGCGATTACCTAAACAAGCTATCTATAGCTAATCGAAATAATGATAGAAATACAGTAAGAAAAATATTTAGAAAATCTTCAGTAATGAAAGGGATGCGCCTACGACTCGTACAGATGCAACAGAAAAGGAAATACAGTCATATGCATACTGCTGGCCGGTTGAATAGGTGTTGTAGGCAATGAGAAAATAAAAGACAGTAGGTCCTGTTTGCAATACGGCTAAGCGCCTACAGTCATTATCGCTGAAGTCTGTCGGGGCGTGGCAACGGCGCGTGAATTTGGTGCAAAGCTAGCCTGCTTTCTATCGCTCATTGCGGCTCTGGGCGTGAAAGGGGCTGGCTCTGCGCTAAAACCAATGCCCTGAGCAAGTTCAGTGAGAAAGACTGAACAGTCTACAGTCATAGCCCAGACAGAAACAGTTAACTAATGTTCCTGTGTTATTGGGACACCCCTCTCTTCTGCCGTCTCAGAAGGGGGGGGGA